ACCGGTTTGGAAAAAGAGGGATGTGGGAGCAGTGGGAATGATCATGAAACATGAGCTGAAAATATTCAATTCATGTTGCTTATTCAGAGGGTATTTAGTTTTGCCTGTGCCTGTAAGAAAAGCTGCTTTAGGACAAAAAGTCTCTCAGATGAAACCTAATCTGTATCACTATTTCACAAGGCACATTTCAAGCCGACACACTCAGTTTGTGACTCCAGACATGAGTCAGAGCTGTCTTAGGGCACAACAGCAGCGATCTCAGCAAGAGGAGGTGGAAGTATCCAGAAGGCAGAGCAGGCCAGTGATGCAGCAGCAGTTCCAGATGCTGTGCCCCAGCCCAGCCCTGCTGCCCCACCTGCCAGGGCCGATGTCTCCTCAGCACCGGGCTCCCGTTTCCCCCTCTGCCAAAGGGCGACAACGTTATTTCACCAACCTTTGGAAAGGGTCACCTTTGCCCAACTTCATCCCTTTTGTTTAGGATTGTGACATTTGAAAAGGCTAACTTAAACAGCCTTCCTCCGAGAAACCTCTTCTCCTGGTGACAAGTCCACGTGTTCTTCCCCGTGAACTCCGCGGTCAAAACCACAAACTTGCACCAGGGAGAAAATACTTCTACACCTACACCCCAGAACCCAAAATGGGTCAGAGCACAATCATCATCACAGTAACATTTCACTCCCTCTTCTGAATCAACCATGCTTTGCTAATTCTTGGATTAGTTTTTTTCCTTGAGAGCCTAAGGCAGCATTTTAGAACACTCGGGGTCTAAAACATTACACTCACTGTACAGTAAGTACTTACATAAAAATACAGTGGTATTTTTTTTTAGTAAGACATAACTTGTTAATTTTGAACACAAAGGTTTGTTTGCTCATGACGTTGTGTAAGGTGAACATCCTTCTTATATCTTTTTTTAAATATACGCAAAATTTTAGCGACAATAATATTGGATATCTTCAACTCCACCAGGCTCAGCTTCGGTTTCATACATGAAGAGGTAACATTTAAGGAAAATATCAAACAATAAGGTGGATCCAGAGCCTGTATTCCTTTTAGTCAATAATACCCTTCTAGTTAGCCTGTGTTGCTAAAGCAGGCAGTGGCCTCAGACAGGACTGAGGCCACGTCACAGTGGCTGCTTGTAAGAAGATTTAAAAAAGTGAATTCTTATTCTCTAACCTTTAACTAATAAACAAACAAACAAAAAAAGAAACTCCCAAAACAAACCACCTCTCCTGATATGGCTTCCCTAGCAGTGACCAGTGGCAAAATAACTGCTCTTGTTGTAAATCCAAATTCTGATCAGTACAAGATGTCATGAGCCCCCTTGCTGGGCACATGCATCATGTGCACTTATCTCACGAACTCTGCTTATCTAAATTATATTTCTTCTTTCAGCTCAAAGCCTTGCTGTGTCTTCTATAAACAATTTCTACCTCTCAGTGCTTCATCTTGTTTCTAAGTGTGATTACTGTTACCCTTGATGATATCTTCAACTTTCCTAGCACACCCCTTAGGACCTCCAAGAGCTTTGTGGTTAATTTATTGTGAGAGTCAGATACAAGAAACCCCTTTCCTGAAGCAGCAGGAACAAAGAAATTCAGGTCATCAAGGAACTCTGTAGCAGACCAGTGTTCAACCAACATAATTTGTCGCTGTTAATGTTGTATAATGTGTTTGGCTTCTTTTGCATCATCAGCTCTTAATAACAAAAGACTTCACTGCTGAATTTGGGAGGTAGCTGGGCGGGGGTGGCAGAAAGAGCTGGCTTGCTTTTAAATAGATCCACATGCATCTCCTTTTCATCATTAGAATAAATTTCCGGAGAGGTGAGCAGAGGTTTAGCTGCATGACTCTCATTAATGTTAACTTTATTTCAGTAATGAGGTGAAAGTACAATCACTGGAGCTGATATAATCAGAGAGATGAGACCAAAGTCTGCTGCTGTAAATACTGCCGGGGAAGATGACATTGACAGTGCTGATGGGCAAGGAAAAATAGGTGTCAGGAGTAAAATGATGCAGGGAGGGTAAAGACTGTGCCTTTGGGTATAAAAGTACAGCTGCAAACTGCCAGGGGACTGTTCAGTGATGTGAAGGCACTGACAGTGGAGAGGACTGGCAAGGTACCGAGCACAACAATCCTCAGCCTTACTGATTCCCAGCAAAAACCGAGGGAAAACGGGGCAAAAACGCCCTTAAAAGTCATTTAGGAAGGATAAGGAGAATTAACACTGGAGTGAAAAAGCAACGTTGAGATAAAACAAAACAGCAGGTGTAGGGAATCAAAAGCTACTGTGACAGCCCCAGAAGCCAATCCCAATAATATATTGCACCAGGAAGACCTCAGACAATGAAAAGTGGGAGCACCATCGTGCCACTGCACTCCATTACTTTGGCTAATAGAATGATCTGAGCTGAACGAGGCCAGGAAGAATTTTATAGTAATTAGCAAATCTGTTAGTGCCCATTTTTCTTCTGCACAACACGGGAACAAAAGAAAAGCAGGCACAGCTATTAAGGGCAACTAACAGGGAGAAAAAGTGGGGAGACAGGCAACGAGTTGGGTAACTGCAGAAATAAAAATAACGATTCCATTTTTTTATTACAGAACCAGTATAAGGAGGGTTTTTAGATTTGCACTAAAAAAAACACAGAGCAACCCTCTAGTAAATATTTAGCACATAATCATCCACATCCAAGTACTAATAGCAGAGAAGGAAGAGAGGAAACATAATATATGCATTCACTCTATATAATTCTTGCAACATTCAGTACCTCTGTAAGCAGTTCACTGTGACTTTATCCAGACACCATAAACACAGGGTTGTGGGTTTTTTATACCATGTGGAACTGAGCCACCCCAAGCTGTTTGTACTGAATCCATGAATTTAACCTTATAGCTCCAAATGAAGTGTATTTATAACGACATGAACAAGATGTGCCCTTTTCACTTGATTTCAGCATCTCACTGACCCTCTGAAGGCTGGAGCAGAACTGCTCTGAACCTGCTGCTGCTCTGGGTGGCAAGAACTCACCCTTTTTTGGGGGGATAAGACAAAGCACGTTTGGTTTTGCCATCCTGGCTCGCTGCATTGTCCTAGTCACTGTTCTTGCAGAAATCCAGGAGAGCCCTGATCAATATGTCTTTGTTGTGTAGCCCTGAATTAACTACATCTCACTTTCCTTTGACAGCGACACAGATCACAGGCAGCTGCCGCTTCCCCTGTGAGGAACACGAGTTCTGGAGAGCATATTCATTATCTGGCTGTTAAAAGCAGCAGAGCATGCAAACCTCACCCTGCCTGGGCTACCTGAGACATCAACATCTCCCTTTGATTAAGTGACTGCCAGCCAGTCACCTTCTCCCTCTAACCTTGATGTGGCAGGGCTGTGACAAGAGCAGGCAGTGTAACATCACCGAGTGCTCACAAATAGATGGCTTAATTTGTTTTAATAGCCCGCTCCCCTGCAGCATTTCCACTGCAAACTCTGGGGTTTGAGGGCAAGAATACACATCGGTTCTTTGGATGGAACTCACCTGAAAGCCAGCTGGCAGGAAGCCAGGGAGAATCCTGACGAGGTCCAAAGCTCCCAGTCAGCTTTACGGCACTTAATAAATTCCAAAGGAATTCCACCCACCCCCCCAACTGCACCATCCTTGAGTCGCAGGACCCGGGATCAGAAAAAATTGACTTTAAAAAAATCACAGCTCCTTATCCAGACCCTCTGTAGCTGAGTATTACTTGTGTACCAACAACAAACCCCCCCAAACCTGAACGAATTTCCATTTCATAATCAGAAGCAAATAAGTCCCCGCGGGGCGAAGTTTGATTTTTATTTCACTGGTCTGGCAGAAATAACAGGGCTGTCAGTCACCGACTCCCACAATGTTTTCATGGGTCTCATATTTTTTTTGCAGCTGCTGGAGTAAGGTAATTCCACAGAAACCTCAGCTGTGGCCTCCCTAGGGCCAAGTTGTTATTATTATTGTTATTTTATTATACAACAGTTACCAAGAGGCTACCGAGGTATCACATCTCTTTTCCCACACCAGCACCCACGATCACCAGTAGATTAAAACCCAGGCAGGTAAAGTTTATTTTCTAGGTTTAGGTGGCCAGGCCAAAGAATTCCAGACAGACACTCCACGCTTTTTCCTGGAGTCCTGTTCTGTACCCGTAGGTGCCTTTTGCCAAGTGAAATCCAGCTCCTCTGCCAGCCCAACTCCACGGACAGGAGGCTCAGCCTTTATCCAAAGGCTGTGGTAACCTCTGCTGGCAGATCCTCGATGCTGCACCGGCTCAGATGCTCCTGAAAGTAAGTAAACTTGTGGCTGAGCAGACAAAAAGACATCAGAAGAGGTACATCACGTTTGCTTACTCATAGTTTTGTGCGCATTTGCTACTCCAGAGGATTGGAATTTTTTAATTGAATGCGTATTTTTAAGGCATAGGGGATTTAGATAAATTAGGGCCCTGCTCATCCAAGTAGGAACATGTTTTATTTCCTCAGACAGCACAGCTTTTATTACCAAGCACGTCTGTAACTGCAGTTTGCAGCTAATCTACATTTTGCTGTTTGAAGATGTGGATACAGCACAGTGAGTGTTGTCTGACAGAGCTGAGGGATGCATTTTATGCATTTGATAATGTCAGTAATGCTATTTTTTTATTTTTTTTTTAGTGTTTAAACCAAAATGTCACACTCGTGGCTTATACCCAACTTTATCCCACTCCTTCCAACGGTGATATTTCATATCTGTGTAAGACAGGTCTTGTTCACATCAATAGGTACATTAAAGGCTCCATGTGAGGCCACAGCCAGAAGTTCTAGGAACTACAAATGTTGTCTTTTTGCTCTGAGGAGTTTAAAATCTAAACATGTTTTGGGCAGGACAGGAACAAAACGCAGGCAACTGATCCATGATTCCAATTTACCTTGACTCCTATTAGTGTGCCTCACTCAGGAGGTGCATGCAGAGATGGAAAACATACAGGATAAATGAGAGCTGCATTTTATTAGAAGCTTCCATTAAATTGGCAAGAAATCAGGTGCTAGTCCTCATTTCAACTATTAACAGTAGAAACAGATTAATTGTCATCTCATCTATGGAAAAAGCCTAACAATCGCCTCCCATTCCATTTGCAACTACAGCTTGTGGTCTTCTATCCCCCTTAATTGAAACCCATAATAGAAAAGCTTCTACGAGGCAAGATTTCAGCCAGAATTAATTCCTTCATTTTCTCTACTCTGCAACTTTGTGTTATTTTACCATAGGCGAAACAGCAGACCACAGCAACAAACATGCTTCAGTCTGAAGGGATCCTGAGAATTCTTGCTTAAGACACACACTTCTAATCTATCAAACCCCTGATTTCTGAGAAAAAAAAATATCTGTGGCCACAGGACTGCCTCAGAATGAAAACCATCAGGAAGACAACCTGCGTGTTGCTACAAGTCAGACCTTAATGGACCAAAAATATTAGATAGAACTGTCTGTTTAATTAGACACGGATCAAAAATGAAGAACTAAGTGCTTTCCCATCATTCCCTGCAGGTTTTGAAGTTGGCATTTTTCCCCCTCTGCATATAGTTAGTTGTTTGCCTCAGGTTGTAAAGAAATGCAAGAGGGCTGTTATTAAAGCACCGATAATTTGCTGAACTCCATCTTTTGTGGAACTTGCTGAGTTAGAAAATTCCTTTTCACCTCCTCCCCCACGCCTCCTTGACAAGAATAACCCAAGAACAAATATCACATTATGGTGTTTGGTAAAAGGATCGAGTGTGTTTGCAGTTAAGTGACTACCACAAGACTGAACAAATCCCAAAGCTCAAGCCTGTCCAGCTAAATGAAGAGGGAAGTAAGAAAGGATTTGCTTTCTAAAAGTGGATCATAATAAAGACTCATGATTAAGATTTGCTGTGCTTAGTGCTTTATATTCACAAATTGACTCCTAATGCAGTTTTTTTAGGAAGTTCTCCAAGCAATCAGAGCCTGAACACGTACAGGAGATAAAGAACTGCCACCACACGAGTGAGAGTCTGAGAATACAGAAACCATTATCCCTGCTCATCAACTGTTCAGGGGTCTGCACTTGCCATTTCACAGCTCCAGCCCATCACTGTGAGGATTTTTATCCAGTTCTCCCTGTACCATCCCAGTGGAGCAGAACAGCAGGTTCTGTCCAGGCCAATGGCTCGGGTTTAAACCTGGCAGACTTAGCACTTTTCCCCTTCTGCAGAGATTAGTTTCCAAACTGGTACAACTAAATCCTGTGCCTGTTTTCCCATTCCACGGTAGCTGCCACCATTTTTCACCAGCATTAATATTCCTGTAAGCCACAGGAATGAAAAAGCACAGAACCCATCCAATTATCCCCAGCAGGGACCTCAGTGCAGATAAGCAGAGCCAGTGGCTCCATCAGGTGTTCTCATTAAACCTGCTGCCAAACACGCATCCACAGCCCCAGTCTCTCAGCTGACAAGGAGAAATGAGATGTCAGACAACCACAGAATCACCAGGCTTTCTGCAAGAGGGATGGACACCACTTAAACCATGCAGAAGTTTTATCAGGAAGCACAGATTTGATGTGTCTCACTGAATCTTCCCAACATGAAGCAATCATTTGCATTCCTTTCCCTGCTCAATCCACTTTTGCAAAGGGTCTGATCTTTCTATTAATCACTGATAGAAGCATTCTCTTGTCCTAGATTAAAATGAAAGTGATTTCCTTTTCAACTCTACTTGCTTGCCTTTATTACAGATATTCCAGGAAGTGTTTCTCTCTGCCCCACTGCATTCTTCAACCTTACATTCTGGTACAGCTGCTTTGTAATTCAAGAAAAGACATGAGAACAGGCAGTATTTTGGAACATTTTAATGATTTAACATAAACTACAGGTACTAGTTGAACAGCTCAACAACCAGGGAGGGAGGATGCAGTTTCTGTCCCATTGACAGTGCACTTCTGATCTCATCCTGTTTTTCTAGGAGAGAAAAGGGCCAGGAATTCTCACAGACATTGTCCAAATTAGGCTGGTTCTTCTGATTTCTTACAATTACTGCTTCAAGGCAGTGGTATGACCTGCTAAGGAATTAATATCAAGTTGGAAAAGAAAGCAGGAGCAGGCGACCAGTATCTTGATCTCATCAGTCATGGTGCAAACACACCAAGTGCTGGAATACATCTCAGCAGGAATGGTCTGACAGACCAACCCGATGGCCTTCCCTAAGGAAAACGGTTATGGAGTGCTGGGAAGGAGTGAAGAATGTGCCTAACTGAAAAGAGAAGCAACCTCTGCTACCCTCTGAAGACAGGATTCCACACTGCAGCCTCACACACGTCTGCACGTTGCCACAGGATGGCAGCAAAGGGATAAACTGCACAAACTGCTAATGCCAGAGCTCTGGAGCCTGTGGAAAAACAAGATTTCCAAGAGAAAACTGCTGATGGAACCGTTATTTCACATGATGGCTTCTGGGAAAAAACAACGAAAACAATGCAAATGGATTTTATGAGATGGTTGGTACTATTTCTTGTTTGTATCATGTGGGATTGCACAGCATTGTACAGATCTTTTGCACCAGGATATTCCACCACTGTGCTTGGGGTTTGTCTGTTTGTTTTTTCGTTAAAGCCTCTGTAGATTTTTATCTACATTTTTATTTACTTTTTTATCTTATGCAGTTCAAGCAGGCACACACAAAGTCCAAATCATGAGGAGATGGGTGGGGTAAAAACAAGAGAAATGAGTCTCTTTACAGAAAAGAACAACCCAGTTCAGTCTAGTGCTTAGACTTTGCCCAGTGACTTGCAGGGGGAGCACAAATTTAGTCAGCATTTTACTGGTTCTCTACCCATCTTTTCTGTGTTGTGTGGCCTTTAGAGGGAGGCAGTTTAAACTGCAACTTTAGAGAGCCAGGAGAAATTGTGGGAGAACCAACCCTGGCCTAGTGCCATTCTGATCAGACCAAGATTCCAGAGTAGCAAGTGTGTCCAACAGCAAATTAAAAGCACCCTGACTGTTTAGCTGAGCTCATGCAACACAGTTGTCCTCAGAGGGCGTGTTCTGACACTGGAATTACTTCATGCACCAGGACATCATGAAACTGAGGTCCCAGAACAGCTCCACCCTTCTGCCTCCTGCACAACCAGGAGTGAAGAATGTTTCATTTACCAAGTTCAAGCAAACAGCTCTCCAGTGTTCCCTGTCACAAGGGGACCAGCAGAGAGCTGTTCACAAAACTAAGACTCCTCTTTGAGGAACCTGTTGCAGAGTATCAAGGGAAGTATTTACAACAAACAACCAACATCCCACCCTGGGCAGATCCCTGCTCTTCTCTCATGCTGCAGGACTTGGACAGAATAACAACTCCATTGGAGTTCTGAATGCTTTAAACTCACTAAGAGGAACATAAGCACTATAGTGACAAATCCCAACACAATTCCTTTGGACTAAGGAGGAAGAAAAACCAACCAACTTTAGTCAGGATCTAAAACATCCTTTCTAGCTGACAGAGCAAAACAGGGACTGAAAGGCACCAACCACTAGCTCTGCAAAGCATCAATACTTTCAGCTAGTAATCCATATAAAATGAATAAATAATTCATAATTACATATGTAGTGTACACCATGCATGTCAAGAGGGGTTCCAGAGAGAGAAGCAAAGCGTGCTTTTCTCTCTGAAAGCAGAAATCCTCCCATTATTACTGTCTCTCTGGAAAGTCTCTGGACTGCAGAGACACAACTGAACCTCCATTTACAGCTGCAAAGCCACATTAGGTATTTTTCCCGTGGTGTTTTACAGCCTAGATCCTAAAACACAGAGGAAATGCTCCAAGAACACACTGGTACTGTAGCACAGTACTAGCACAGGTGCACAGCAAAGTGAAGGAAGCAAGATTCAGTCCCAGAGAACTGGAGCTCCTTGCTCACTCTGACACCTCTGGCTTTGCCCCCACACCCAACACAAGCCATTTGCACTGAGGCTCTTGTAAAGCAGCAGCTGGTGTCTTGTTCCTTTGGCTTCCAGCCTCCAGTTGCTTCCCTCTGTTGCTCAGATCTCCCAGCTTTCAGACAGGCAGGAGCTCGGGGGGATATTCCCCATAGCAGTATTTGGCAATGGGGTCTCTGTAGGTGTTCTCATGCTGCACACTCTGCCAGGGAGAGGAGGAGAAGCTGTAACAACACACACACACACACACACATATCCCTTCACCCAGGGCCAAAACCCACAGCAGTGATGTCCCAAATTCTTCTACACGTTGGTGTAACACACCAGTTGCAGTCAGACAACTCTGTACTCCCAACAGTTGCTAAATTACAGCACTTTAATGTTGAGCCATACCCAGCACTCCTTTTCAGGAGACTACTCAAGTAAGTGGGGAGAGATTCAATAAATATATATATATATATGCTTAGGCAGTATCACCAAATGTCCTAAGCAAGCAAGGCACAACTAAGTTGCTGCTTGAGATGTGTCCATTTTTCTTGATAAAGCTAGAGTTCAGATACTATGGTTCAAAAAACCAGCTTTGGAGGCATTTGGAACTATATCCTTTGTTTGCAGTCCATCCCTATTGCTACATTAAATACTCAAGCTGCATAAGATCACCAGCAGCACTTTCTAAGAGGGCCAAATGCTTGCTTAGACCAAAATTAATTCTAAATAAAATCACATGGGTAACAGAAGTTCACCTCTGTTCTTAAAACAAACAGAAATATTACAACATACTTTTTGAGTTTCTCTGCAGATGATTGTCAGCATATGGTAAGTCTCCAACTCTACCATAAAATAAATAGCATTCTGAAGCTACTGGGGACAGCTCTCACTGTTCTTATTAGACCTTCCTCAGAACTCATCCAAGATCTTCTCTGGTCATTGAACTCAGTCTGTTTTTAGTTAAGCATCTCTTTTTTAAAGGGAGTGTGCAACTTGCCCTGCTCTAAACACACATTTTGCCTGCAGATGAGCTCCCAGCCACAGCTCCAACGTTTATGAACACATCCATGGACATAAAAGCACAGCACACAGGAGCAAACTCGTTTTTCAAGGGCACTTTTCTGGGCCCTGGACACGTCCTTGTGCCCTACCTGTGATGAAGTCCTACATTTGGCCAGACACAGCTCAAAGTGATCCTCCACTGCCATGAAGAGGTTTTGGAAAGCAATAGCTGCCCGGTTCAGGAAACGCTCCAGGAGATGTTGCTAAAGCAGTCAGCAAAAAAACACAAAACAATGCAGTCCTTCAACAAGGAGCAACCAAAGCCCTCCCTCACCTAAACAACTCAGGTATCAGAGGAACAGTAAGCAACTCCACTTAGGATTTCTAGCAAGCACTGAAAGGCTAATCCCTCACAAGCCCCAGCAGTGGGAAGAGAACCCAGAGAAGCTCACAGAATACAGGGAAGTGCCAATTACAAAACTGGAATAGCTTTTCCTGCAATGGTTTCCCTCCAGCAAATGCAACTGCCCTGAAGCTGAAACATTTTTCAGGGCTCCCAGTGTTTCCCCTCGGAGGCGGGAAGGATGAATTTTGTTAAAGCTTTATTTACAGCTCGCCAGACGGTCCCTGCAGGCTTTCCAAGAAAAGGAACTGTCCCCTCTAAGGAAAAAGAAGCACTTTTAGGCTCAGAGGAACCTGAGAAGCAGGAGGAAGTGTTTCACCTTGCTGGGCTGGAGGCAGCAGGACACGCAGTACTCGTAGACGCTGCAGCAGCCGTTGGGCAGGCAGCTCTCACAGCTGAACAGCTTCGTGCTGGGCACGTGCACGTCACAGCAGCCGTTCACCAGCAGGTCCTTCCTCTCACAGATGTACCCTGGGAACAACAGCAGCGGTAAAAACTGGGCAAGACACACCCCTGTAATCCACAGTAGGAATCACGTTACTAAAGGACAGGTTTATTTGTCATTTAGCAGGTTATGATCCCCCTCTGTCTGGCAGGAGCAATTCTTTGCAATGACACTTGGATGTTTCAAACAGCCTGGTGTTATCTGCACAACTAATATGTGCTACTACTCTAATGTGTGCTGTATGTACACTATGAGTGTTTAAATACAGAATTTTAAAGTTCTGATTTCTTTTTGGCATAATTCCTTGTTGGGAAAGGGGATTGGTGATGGAGAAAAACCTGTGACATGTTCTCTCAACAGCTCTGTGTCTGGATAACACTCCTTACAGATCAGTATGAAGGGACTTAGATTTATCCATGCAGAATAGCTCTAAATTAATTGAGTTAGGGAACCATCAGTAGTACAGAACCATGTGTATGTCCTCATGGAAACTACCACCACCACAGTGTCAGACTGTGAGACAGAGCTGTAATTTTTAGAGACCTCAGGAACTGGCACCAACCATAATTCAGGCAGTGCCAAATTTAACATTGATGCAAATCACAAAAAAAGATGTGGTGGGTTTTCTACAGCCTTGTTTTCTGGTCAAGAAAGATCCAGTGCACGAGCAACAAGCAGGGTGGGGAAGTACTTGTGTAGGGCAAGAAAGGATCTTTAACTTTTAACACTTAAAACAAGTGGTTAATATCCTTGGGTTTCAAGGGTCAGATGTGTAATTAGTGCTCAGTCACAGTTAACAAGCTCATGTCCTGAGCTGCCTCCCTACAAGGTCAATAGGGTTTCCTCAATTACCCTCCCTAACACCTCTGACAGCAGGAACACACTGCAGGGAGACACAAACAGCTCTGCAAGCAATCACAGTAAATGGAGCAGGACTCAATGTTCGTGTTCTGTGCAAAGATAAGTGGAATTCTTTGACTCTGAGGCGGCCCTGGGAACAGCACAGCCACACCCATACAGCCCTGTGTCTGAGCTGAGCCTGCACAGAACCAAACCAGCAGTGTGTGCAGCCACAGGGCAGTTCATCCAGCCTGGGGAGAAAATGCCAATGGCTGAGTAAAAACGCCTTAATAAAGAGCAGTTGTTCCTTGGAAGTGCCACTGACAGACAGACAAAGCAGAGTTCAGCACTGCCACGTACAGAATAAAGTCTTAGTGTCAAACATACCCAGTTCATCTGTGATGAGGAGCTTGCCCTGCACAGAATTCCTGCACTGGTTACTCAGCTGGCTGCTGTTTCCCGGGCTGAACTTCACCTTCCACAGGATGGGCTGCTCGTGCTCCTGCACTTGGAGGAGATTCCGATCTCTCACCATCCTCTCTTCCTGCAAGGAAAGACAGTCGTGCAACCAAACATGAGAGTTCCTTCTGCCACTTCAATCCACGTGCTCTTCCCACAGTTAGAAATGCCTCGTAGTTGTAAACTCCACAGCACAGCAAACACCAGAACCAGTGGAGTAACCAACATACAACTTGTAGTAGCTCGCTTTGTGCAGTACACAGGGAGATACACAACCCAGTACAACAGGGACTGTAAATTCACCAAGGGATCAGCCAACACAGCCGAACTTGGTCACTACAACCACAAAAGTGATATAAATTATCTTAAATAACCACAGCTGCACATATTTCTCTTTGGTGAGTCCTTTGCTAGTGGAACTACCGCTCACAAGAGATCATAGAATCATAGAATCAGCTGGGTTGGAAGGGACCTCTGAGATTATCAAGTCCAACCCTTGATCCACTACTGCTGTGGTTCCCAGACCATGGCACTGATGCCACATCAGTGTCATCTTAAAAACCTCCAGGGACAGAGAATCCACCACTTCCCTGGGCAGCCCATTCCAATGGCTGATTACCCTCTCTGGAAAGATACAGAACAATAACCAACAAACAACACCATACAACAAACATCAACATTTACAACACTACAGCAAGCAACAGCACACAAGAATAAAACAAACAACAACAGTCCCTTCGAGATTTTCTTTTCCCAGTTTCGGTTCGAAACACTGTCGCTGTCAAACACAGTATCAGGCATTACTATTTTAAACTCTTGTGTGCGTGTTTAATAAATACGATGTGGCTCTTACAGCGACATAACTCAGGAGATGAGTGTCAGCAGCCTCAGGACCGCAGTGCCCGCGGTCTGAGTGCTGCTGTACCCCCCCAGCCGCCGCTCACTGACCTGCTTGAAGGTGCTGGTGATGAAGTAAACGAGCGAGAGCCCGAACACGAGGCCGAGCACCCAGCGCTTCCTGAGCAGCCGCCGCCACAGCACGGCCCCGCAGGGCACCATGGCGGGCTCAGCTCCCGCGGGGACCGCCCGGCACCCGCATCCCCGGCGGCCCGGGAGGCAGCGGCAGCGCCGGGAGCTGCGGGAGCCCCGGGAGCGGCGGCGGCCCCGGCGCGGCCCGAGCGCTTCCGCCGGCCCCGAGCGGGAGGCGGAAGCCGCGGCCGGGCGTGCGCGGGGCGGGACCGGGAGCGGGAGCGGCACCGGGAGCGGGAGCGGTGGGTACGGGGGCACCTCCCGGGCCGGGCCGGGCCGGGCAGGGTTGGCTCCCGCACCCCTGGGCACGGCGCCGCGTGTGCCGGCGGGAATCGCCTGCCTCGGCTTAACGGGGAAAAAAGGCCTCGCTTATGTCTGTGTGTGTACATAGATATATGTGTGTGTGCATGGAACTGTATTTATAGATCTTTCTATAGATAGATAGATAGATATATGTATAGATATGTTATAGATAGATATAAATGTGTATATATATGTAAACAGAGAGAAGTGTATATATATAGATATGTATATATATCTATAGATAGATACAGATATAGATATGTGTATATATATCTATGTATATAGAGAGAAATGTGTATATATGTCTGTATATAAGTATGTGTAATATATATGTATAATATGTATATATAATAAATACATATATGTAATATATACATACATATATGTGTATATGTATATTATATACATAACATGTATACATTATATATACGTATTATATATAATAAATACATATGTGTAATATACATATGTATTATATCATATACATAATATATACATATATGTATATGTATATATATGTATATGTACCTATATATACATATTATGTATATGATATACATAATATATACGTACTATATATAATAAATACATATGTGTAATATACATGTATATATTATATACATCATATGTATATCTACATATATATGTAGATATATACATGTATATAAAATATGTATATGTGTATAATATATTTATAATATAATATGTAATATATATAAGTATATATGTGTATAAAAGTATATATATGTATACATATATTTGTATGTATATAACTGTACTTATATGTGTATATATGTATATATACATATCTGTGTATAATAGGTGTATATATAGGTGTATATATATGTGTATATTTGTGTATAAATATACACACATCTAGGTTTATATATAGAGAACAAAGGCCATTTAAATGTGATCAAACCTGTAGGACTCTGGGCAGAACAGACCAGAACAGACATCTCACGATGTCCTGCACCTTCAGGACTTGGCATTCATGTCACTGTCCCCTTCATGGCTGATGCCAAAAGAGAAAGTGTCTCCCCATGGAGCTGAATGTTATTGTGGAGTGTGATTTCACCCCACATCACAATCTAGACTTCTAATGGTCTAGAAAGGCGTGAAGGGTTTTCCAAGTGCTGGAGTTACCTCTGCTCTGGCTCTGGCTCTCAGCTTGTAGCATGGGAAGATGGACAGATGTTTTTTATAAGCAGTGACCTCAAAGTTATTCCCAGGCAGGGCAGCTCTGCCTGCATAGGCCAGCCTGTCTTGGCCTGTTCATTGTACTTTAATTGCTGTTTTGGTTAAAAATAATATATGTATAAAATAATATTATGTGTCAAGTCAACAGAGATATTGTCAGGGTAGGATTACTGCAGGGAAAGCATATAAAAGATTACTGGAATACTAAGTATTGTTACCTGAAATGCAGGTTATAACAATTGAAAAAACCCCCATAAATCTATTTTTTACGTATAAAACTTGCAGATCCTTATAAAAAGAACTTAGGCTGTGAAAATCCAACACGAGCTGAAACGAATAGTGAGAGATTAAAAGCCTGCTGGGACTTACAAGTTAAAAAATTTGTAGTTAGGAGAGTTATTTAAAAGAATAGTGTCATGACCTGGTTTTGTTTTTTCATCAAAGATGTTTATACATTTGCTTTTTTTCCTCCCTCTCAGTTGTACAAACCAGGTTTCTGCAGAAGAGGAAGAAGGGGTTTCATTGCCAAGAGCAGATGTTGGGTGACGTGTCACATCGGGAGCCACCCTGTTAGATGTCCTCGAGGTCTTTCCCAGGACCACCACACATCTGGACACTCCTTGTGACTGCCCTGTCCTGCCAAAGGGGACCTGACTAGTTCCTGCCCTGCCTGGAGCCCTGTGCTGCCACAACTCCAGAGTTGTTCCCGTGCGAGTGGGCTGAGGAACAGCCGGGAGCCGGAGGGGCTGTGCCGCAGGAGGAGGTGCTTTGTGCCAGCCATGTGCCCGGCTGGGTGGCACCCCCAGCCCCCCGACGCCGTGGGCCTGTCTCAGTAGCCCCCCCGGGCTCTGCTGCCCCGCGCCGTTGATGTTGAGCGTGTTGTGTTTCAGGGTGTTGAGGAAGATGCAGAGGCGGCACAGCAGCAACACGGACACCGTGCCTCCGGAAAGGTACAGCTGCCTCCCTCCTCCGGGCCCCTCTCCAGGGGGGAACGTCCTGATTTAAGTGTAGGGGGGGGTTGAGAAGGTGGAAACTCAAAACTGAGTTTCCTCAATCCTCATTCCTGTGGATGTGGTGTGGCCAGGCTTTCTGCTCGAGGTCGGGAAGTTTGGACACAGGTTTACTTTTCCCCCTCATGTCAGCATTGACTGCTGCCCACCACAGTGTTCCTGGATCAGTGTGGCACATGAGGAGCTGGCTTGGCACAGGCAGGACGTTTTGGAGCGCTAATATTGCTGTTTTGGTTAAAAAAGAGCATAATGTTATGTATTAACTCAAAAGAGATGCTGTCAGGTTAGGATTAAATAACATTTACTGCAGGGAAAGCATAGAAGATTCCTGGAATACTAAGTTTTGTTACTTCAAATGCAGATTATAACATTTGGAAAAAGAACATAAGATCTATTTTTTTACTGTATAAAACTTACAGATCCTTATAAAAAGAATTTAGGCCCTGAATGATTTGTTGCACAGTCTTATGGGGATCCTGAGTGCAATCAATCTGCAAGGATCAACCTGTATGAACAGAAACTATTTATGCTTCTGTTATTAAAGTGTGTAAAAGGTCTGCTGAGCTGAAGCTTTCAACGACTTAGTGTTTTATAAAGAGTTTGAGTGATCCTTTACATCCTCCCAGAGTCTGTATCCAGCTTCATGTATGTGAGTATTTAGATGTAGAATACCTCTAATTCACTTCTGCAATTATAACATCAGCAAGGGAGCCTTGCCACTGTTGTTGTTCTGGTGCTAAGTATTCCCTAGGGCTTTCCCAGAGCTACAGCTTGACTTTTTTTTTTTCCTAAAGAAGAAACTAATCTAATTAAGACAAAGATGGAACTAACAAATTTCATTGCTCTGGCTGAGCTGAGATTATAAGTGAAAGATCATCGGGTTTGCAAGTAGAGTTGCACTTTGATGCCGTGACCCCTGCTAGCATGGTACTGTTCTTAATTTCAGGGGAAAAGAAAGCCACCTTCACCTTTTTTTCTGCATGATGCTGCCCAAACCTCAGTACAGTCTGTGGGTTTTATATCAGCAGGCAAGGCTGGGGCTTGAGGCACAGAAGGTGCTGAATGGGCCTTCTTGTCTTCTGTGCAGAGCTCTCTGAGTCTGTACAAACCTGTAAGACACTTCAGGACCTGTTTGAATAGTTAAAATATATTCAGGGTGTGTGTCTGTTATTGAGTGCAAAAGATAAGCAGAGTAATGTCAGTTGGCTTTTATAAATCCTTCTGGTTTTTAGCAGGTTAGGTACATATTATCAGAGAGGCTGAAGGTTTCTAAATGTAGAATGAAATGTTCTTGTCACTGGTCTTCCCTTCTGGTTAACTTCAGCAGCCTCACAATTTCATCCTTGTTTGTTTTTAAACGTGTCCCAGATTAATTCCTTCCTGCTGAAAGCACAGCCATGTATCCTGGTAGTATTATTCCAAACAATAGTTGTGTCTTTATTTGTAACACTGCGTTCCACCCAGGCTGTTTGTTAGTGTTCCCAGACCCAAGGACTGTCACATTCTGTCCCTGTGTTGTGTGTACATCCCTGAGTTGGAATCATTATTTCTAAAGTTAGAGACCTCCAGGGGTTAAAATCAAGAGAGACCAAAGCCCTGCAACTTGCCTTATTTGTGGGCTTTGCCTCTTGCTGAGTTTATTTATTCTTTACTCTCCTTCTGCAATTTAGAGAGGTATTTGCTGTCTGCCAGGCATTTACTGCCTAATGATCATTCTACTTGTTACCTGGATTGTTCCCTGCCATCTAAACTTGCTTTGTATTCATCTCAGCACCACAGGATTCACTTCAGGTGAAGAAAGCCTCTTGTCTTTTGGTGTTTAGGAGGAAGGTATTTAGACTTTTTTGGAATCTGGAAAGGATCAGTGCCAGAACTAATTCTCTCCTGTTCCCAGTAATTTGGGTACATCCATGTCTAATTTGCCAGGAATATCAAAACAGAAGAATTTTTCTTGACCCATGAGCACATTTTTTATTAGTTCAGGGACACACAAGCTTCTCTTCCCCAGTTGATTGTGTCTCTTGTTGGTGCAGTTCATCACTGGGCAGGCAGTGATCAACCCTAAATAAAGACAGAAGGTTTTGGGGGTAGGTCATTGCTTTGAGTTAGCTTGGTTAATTTGTTTCTATTTAATATGACCTGTCTTATTGTGTCAGGTTCCATAGGGTTTTATATGTTTTTCTTTAAATGCTAAAGTTAGTATAGATGATGTTGAGTTTGGTATTGGATGTGGTTTTTTTTGGTTCCTCCAGAAATCCAAGGAGTGTTTGGGAAGTTTGTTCTTTAAATATTAAAATCAGTATAGATGATGTTGAATTTGGTATTGGATGTGTAATTTCTTTGGTTCCTCCAAAAGTGAAGGGGTATTTGGGAAGTTTGTTCTTTAAATATTAAAGTCAGTGTAGATGATGTTGAGTTTGGTATTGGATGTGTAATTTCTTTGGTTCCTCCAAAAGTCCAAGGAGTGTTTGGGAATTTTGTTCTTAAAATATTAAAGTCAAGGTAGATGATGTTGAGTTTGGTATTGGATATGTAACTTCTTTGGTTCCTCCAGAAGTAAACAGGGTGTTTGGGAATTTTGTTCTCTAGATGAAGGAAGTGGTGCATGTTGGTCAGGTCTTTAGAGGTTCTCTGATCATGTGAGTCTGGTTACTGGCCTCCAGTTCTGCAACTGTGACTTTCCAACAGCACATAGAGGGAAAACCATCTGTGATCTGGAGACCTGCGTGTTCTCAAAGTGTGTGAGAGTGGCAGTTTGGACTTGGCCTTGCCACAGCAAAAGCCCTCCCCACCCTTTTGTCTATGAACACATGAGAAGCAAAGGGAAGGGAAAAAAAACCCAAAGAACCGAAATAACAGAACTAAAGCAATATATATATATGTATTTACACATATACACAATTACAGAACTATATACACATAAGAAAGAAACCCCTAACACCCCCCGAAAAACAGATATATGCAACCAATAAATACTTAATACTTTCCTTAAGAAAACAAAAGCCACTCCAGCAAATCTCTCCTCTTGAATCAGAAAAACCACAGGCCTCACAGGCCTCACTCCCACATGAGTGAGACCAACTGCGGAGAGCCCGCTGTCTCCAACTTCACCAGAAGAGATCTGGCCAACTAACTCCCTCCAACTTCTATTTATATTCCTGCTTAGGTAAAGAATAGCATGGAATGTTGGGATATAGGTACTCCCTTGGTTTTGACTTGGTGTGGTAGTTTAGGCTAGGCCTTCCTTGGTGACCAGTTTGTAACCAAGGAAGTGCCCAGATTTACTCGGTATTCCCTACGATTTTTACATAAGCCGGGGTATAAGAAGAAAGGAGGAAAGGCCTTCGCCCCTCTTTCCTTCCGGCGGCTTTGGAGGTGCAGGTTCCCTGCTGTTGAGTCTGTCATATTGGAAAGTGAGGCCTGGTAAGGCCTGGTGAGGCCTAGTGAGGCCTGGTAAGGCCTTGCCGACCTTGGGAGATGGAGGTTGCCAGCAGTCGTTCCAACACGGCTTTCTGTTGTCCCAAGGAGAGTAGTAAGATATTCTTTTGCTAATTCTTTTAGTTGCTAGATCTTGAGCTATTGATCGTGTATATTTTATTTTGGTTTTGTTCTTTTTTTCCCTTCCCCCTTCCCTTTCCCTTTTCCTTTTGAAATTGTACATATATTTCAAATGTATGTAACTGTAATACAAGTGTAAATATATTTTTATATATTGCTTTAGCTGCCTCTCTCTCGTTTCGGTTCTCTTGGGTTTTTTTTTCGTCTCCCTTGGTTTTTTTAGGGGGGGGAGTTCTTGTGGTGAGGTTTGGAGACTTGGCAGGGAGCCAGCTTCAAACCACAACACCTGGTTGCCAGGAAAAGGCCTAGACCAAACCATTGCAGTGAGGAACACCAAACCACTACAAAAAACCACGAAGTTCCGCGTCACTCAGTTTTTTAATCTCTCTGCTGTCGCCCCTCCGCAGGAACCGGAGCCAGACGGTGAGTTCCGAGACCAGCGTGGATGAGAGCGGAGTGTTCGAAAGCCTCAAGGCCGAGGCCTCCTCCCCGCAGCAGCTCTTCTCGGGGCTGGCCGGGATCCCCTCGGGCACCATCACGGCCGCGCCCTTCCAGTCGGGGTTGGTGCTGGGCTCCTCGGCGGGAGGCGGCGAGGTGTTCATCCAGATGCCGGCCCCGCGGGAGGAGGGGGCCGGCCGCGCCGAGGGGGCCCCGTTCCACCACCACCGCCAGCCCTCCCACCACTTCCACCACGGCCACCACCGCGGCTCCTCCCTGCTGCACATGGCGGGCGGCGACCGGCACGGCCACGCCGAGGAGGGCCCCGAGGAGCAGGGGGGCACCCCAGCCCCGGCCCTCTCGGAGCTGAAGGCCGTCGTCGGGTGGCTGCAGAAGGGGCTTCCCTTCATCTTGATCCTCCTGGCTAAAGTTTGTTTCCAGCACAAGCTTGGTAAGCAACCCCCATCCTTTTTGAACCCTATTATGAAGCTTTGTCAGGCTGTGGTGTCCCATACTCTTATCCATGTGATGGTGTATGGTAGTTTGGACCTGGCTTCCCTGCCAAGACCACAGCAAAGGTCTTCCCCCCTGCCACCCTTTTTATGAACGCAGGGGAAGGAAAGGGAAGAAAAAAACTGCCAAAAAAACCCTGAAATAACAGAACCAAAGCAGCATATATATATATTTTACACTTATATACAGTTACAAAAACTATATGCATATAAGAAAGAAAACTCCCAACACCCAAAAAAAACCCAGAAAAGCAGATATACACAGCCAATAAAGAACTAACAAATGAAATCTTAATACTTTCCTTAAGGAAGCAGAAGCCACACCACCGGATCTCTCCTCTCAAATCAGGAAAAAGAACAACAGCTTCTCAAAAAAATCCCCAGGCCTGCACTCCCACCCGAGGAGCCCAGCCACAGGGAGGTTGCTTGCCTTCCTCCAGCTTCTCCTCTCTGAGATCTCCCCTCCAGCTTCCTCCCCCCTTCTATTTATATTCTGCTTAGGTAAAGAATAAAATGGATTATTGGGTTATGGGTACTTCCTTAGTTTTGACCTGGTTGCCAGGAAGAGGCCTAAACCAAACCACTACGCAGTGCCCAGGTGTAGCCTGGCACGAAGGGGACACACTCAAATGTACGTGATGAATTCACCCTACTTTCAGTCCCAGCTGTTCTAAAAATATTAAAACCAAAGGGAAAAAGTGCTTGATGCTCGCCTGCAAATTGTACTTAATTACTACTTGCCCTAAGAATGTTTATGGCACCAGTTAAAACTGAACACTGACAAGACCAGTGAGTGTGGTGCAGAAAAATATTGAAAGCAGGCAGTGAACACTTGCAGCTTGTCACTTCTTCAGAGACAGGGTTTGTTAACAGAGCTTGGATGTTCACCAGCTCCCTGCTCTGAAGGCCCTCACCTGAACAGCAGTTGTTACACCCAGCAGGATATCTACAGGTAGTTTAATACTATGAAAATATTTGCTGTCCTGACCAGTTCTGTTCCTTTTCCTGATCTCCCCTTGACATTCCTGTGAGGTTGAGGATGTCACCAAGGCTTCTCCCTCAGAGCTCTCCCTAGGAGAGGTGGGCAGAGCTTACACTGGTGACTGGCAGAGGTTTCTGTGGAGCACAGAAGGGTTCTGAGGGATGAGACACTTGTCTGGCTGGTAGTGGCTGTGGTAGCTGTGAAATCAAGTCAGACAGCATCAGCAGTTACATCGTGCAGTTGAGATCTTCAGAGTTCCCTGAAGAATATGTCTATGCAGGTTTTTTTTTAATGGTGCCTGAGTATTTTAGCACTATAAAATTGTATGTGTGTGGTATGTCTGAGGATCCTGACTCATTCTGAGATTATCAACACTGGGAAACCAGTAACGCTTCCATTTTAGTCCACTTACAACTCTGACAGGGATTTGGTTAATTGTCTGCAATGTCTTGGCCTTTGGACCTGATATCCTGTAGGTTTTTGATACTGTGCCCTGTCCTCCAGGAGCTGCTGAACTGCTGTTGTAATACTGTCACCTGGCACAATGCAGCCACGACTGGGAGCACTTGTGTTCTCCTTCAGGACCTGAGGACAGAGTGTCTGTGCTGGGCTGGGTGCTCACTGCAGTGCTTCATCTTCATTTACACTGAATTTGAAATACAGAGCCCAGACTGCCCTGGTTTAGTCACCTGTACATTTAAATTCCCAGCGCATCCAGAGTATCACCCAGTGATGTTTTTTCTGAGCTTGAGATGCTGATGTCCCTGGCTCAGGACTGGTGTCCCTGGCTAAGGATTGATGTCCCTGGCTCAGGACTGATGTCCCTGGCTCAGAACTGGTGTCCCTGGCTCAGGACTGACCCTGACAGTGCCTCTCCTGCAGGGATTGCTGTGTGCATTGGCATGGCCAGCACCTTCGCCTACGCCAACTCCACGCTCCGAGAGCAGGTCGCCCTGAAGGTGAGTCCAGCATTTTACCTCCTTGTATCCCTGGGAAACATCACCCTCCATGCACAAAACAACACCTTCTTTTGCACTGTGGGGCTGAATGCATTTATATGGGCACAGATCTTTCAGAACAGAGAGTTCTGAAAGGCCCTAATCCCACCTTCCTCTTCCTGCTTCTCCACACTGATGCTCTCCTACTGTTTCTACCCTATTTTTTTGTGAGTGTGAACATAGTAAACAAAGAGAGTAAACATAGTAAACAAAGAGAGTGTGAACATAGTAAACAAACCCTCTTGTAATCTGCATCACCCCGTGCCGCTGGCTGGCAGTGCATCTTCCAGCACCTCTCTGCACCTTGGTTTCCCCATTTCGGCAGCAGTGCTGGAAGCTATTTGACTTATTAATGATGAGATTTAACTTATTAGCATTTAGATCATGTTTTGGGGTGTTTAACTGAAACATTTTATAGATGTATTGCTTGTTAGCATGTTTATAATGCTCTGTTGAGAACGTACAGAAACCAGCAGATCTTTCCAGGCCTTGTGATCTTCAGTGTCAGGAGAACAGTTCAACAGCACTAAAAGCACAAGACTAGAATTCCTTTTTTATTAAAATTACATGGGTGGCACAAGTGTGTACTTGTATCTACCAGCAGCAGTGGAATAAATGTGCTGCAGTGCTGAATGAAGAGATAAATTGCACAATCATGTAATAGATGGCTGTTGCCTTGCACTTTGCACTCTCTCCTTCCAGCAGTGTGCCCCTTAATCCCCCTGCTTTAAATCTCAGCCTAACATGCCTGCAGAGACCTATTTCCTTAATAAATCAGCTCAGAAGAAAAATGGTGGGTGTGTTTTCCTCCCAGGAGTAAAATTTACTCTTCAAAATTACCCTGGGCCAAGACTCAGGACAAGATCTTCTGCCATCCAGCTTCTGTCTGTAATGTTCCATGTGTTTTGAAATGCAGCACTTGCACTTCTTTTTGACCTTCATTTACTTCCTAGATCAAAAATGCATGTTCTAGAACCTCCCTGCATTTGGATAACACTCAGATGTGCTGCAGGTGGTGATGGGTTATATTTGGTTTAGCTGAGCCTTCCTCTCACTCAGAGGATCTGTTTGTAACCCACTCCTTTGATGAAGTGTCACTCCCACCAGGTGACAGCTCAGAATTTAGGACAATAGATGGAACTGACTTTTTTTTTTCAATCTGCTTGTCACACCGAGGTTTAAATACCAGCAGAGTTTAGATGTCCCAGGAAAGATCCCAACTTTGAAGATTGCATTCTGCAAGGAAGGCTGTCACCTCCCCTAGCATATTTCAAATAATTTCCCTGAAGTTACTTTATTTGAAAGGTTTGCAGTGTGAGAGCCATTTCTGCCTGTGTTTATATGTGTCCTTACCTAGCAGCCTGCTTCTGAGCCTTAGTCCTGTGTAAATAAACTAATTACTGAACCCTTAGATACATATTCGTGTCCCCTGGGATGGGCACAACCCACAAGACTTCCAATTTATCTTCTCTCCTTCTTTCTCTTGCCCAGGAGAAGAGATCAGTGCTGGTTGTGTTCTGGATCCTGGCCTTTCTCACTGGAAACACCTTGTACTTGCTTTACACATTCAGCTCTCAGCAGCTCTACAACAGGTAGGCAGGACTCACAGCAGGTGATAATTTCCAGGGAGGAGAAGAATTTCCCACTGTTCCCCACACTTTGGAAGTGTTCATGCCTAAAGCACCTGCTGTCTTGGCTACATCTCTGCAATACCTTTCAGTGGAGCAGAAGGATGTGTGTCATTTCTGCAATAAATGGCACAGCCAGGGTGGAAATGGGGGGTGAGGACACACGACATGTTTCAGAGCAGGGTGGATCCTTTTTAAGAGGGACCTCTGAATTTCCACTTGGACTGCAGAGGCTGAACATACAGAGCAGGTGTCAGAAGCAGACAAGGCACAGACCCACTGATTTTCCTCTTCCTGTAATGTTTTCTCTTCAATCTGTCAAGCTTTGAGTCCAGGACAGGAAATAAACAGGAGGTGAAATAGTAGTGTTTTACTTCAGTGTCCTCAGGGCTTGGAGGCACTTGGATCTGAGGTAATTAAGACATCCTTGACTTTCAAATTCTCACTAAAGCAGTTCTGAATTACAGGAAAGTTTGTACCAATGGATTTGGTTCAGCACTACCCCTAGTTACCATAAAGTCTGTAGGAATTATGACAGGCAGGAAGCAAAGATACCCAACTTAAGCAAGGAGATGTTAGTAGAATAAATAGGAAGAAATGGAACAACATCAAACCTAATTATTTAGAAAGTAGTTTTGGTATTAGGAGCTAAACCCATATGAATTTCCTCCCTAATTAGAATTTTTTTTGTCCCACTGAAGGGGACTTAGAACTTGAGGCTGAAAATACAACGTGCAGCAGTTGGGTTATGGCTACACAGCTCTTGGGTTTGGTTTCTCTGCCAATTATTTCAGTGCTTCCCTGCTTCTTCCCAACAATACTGTCTATGGGAAGAGCCAAGGTCTGCCCTTAACCCTGGTATCCTTTGGAATTGCCCCTAATGGATTTGGTCATTGGAAAACTCTGTGTGTAAATGCTTCTGGAAATGGGGAGAGGTGAGAAGGCTTGAATGTGTGGGTCCAAATGGGAGATGCCAAGCCATGGGATTCCCTGGATATGGCTTGTGGGAGGGAATGGAAGAGAAGCAGGAATGGCAGAAAGGTGTGGAAGCATCGAGAAGGAATTTGCATCCCAGGGAACCTGTGTGTCTGTAAGTTGGTGGTCAGGGTTAAAAACATGGGTAGGACTAGTTTAAAATAGAGGCTAAATCACCCAAAATAAAGGGCTTTCAGCAAATTGGGGCCTCCCTACACACAGTTTAGGGCAGGGCTTGTTACCAGTGGACAGGCTGGGCCACATTTCCATGGAGAATCCCTGCTCCTGGGAGTCCTGCTGTGTCATGCTTGGGCTGGTGCATCTGTGTGGGGACCTGGGACTATTCACAGGGCAGGCTTGTCAAATTAGAAGTAGCTGCTTCATGTTTACTTCTTTCTGGCTTATTTTTCATTTCTTGATTTATTTTTTTCCTAGTGTTTTTATTTATTTATTTATTTATTGTTTCTAGTGCACGAATAGTAGTAAAGCCTCTGATTCTGTTTCTGTTTTTAGGGTGTAATTTTACCTGTTGTGCTGTGCCAGTGTTGTGAGTATTTTAAATTCATGTTCAGGCCTTTCATTTCGGGTCGGTTGTTTTACTTTTGCTTTATTTTTTTGTTGGGTTTTTGTTGGTTTTTTTTTGGTTAAGTGTTTGCTTCCTACCACGAGGCTTTAGCAGCCAAACACCCCGAAGACAAATCCTGGTTTTTCAGCCTGAGTAGGGTCCAGTCCTCATTGCTGCTCAGGTCAGTGGCTCCTGCCCGTTGCTGTGTGGAATTCTGCTGTCCCAGACTCCACTTTTTTCAAAGAGCAAACGTTGAGCAGGAACTTCCCAGGGTAAGGTTTGACATTCAGATCACAGAATCAGACAGAGCTCAAGGCACTGCCTGCACACCAGAGGCTCTGGTGCAGCGTGGAGGGCAGGCTGTGGAGATTGCAGCCTTCCAAAACAGCTTTGGGTCCTGTTTGGTGACAGTGGGCAAACCTGGTGACCTCAGGAGAACAAGAGCAAAGCCAAGAGACCCCGAGGAATCAGGGCACTGATTTGCATGTCTGGCTCCTGTTGCCCTTGGCAATTCCCCTGGGGCTCAGGGGAGTTTCTGGGCTCTCTCTCTCTAGCCAGCAGTGGACACAAGAAGCTTGAGTGAGGTTCTCACTGGTGTTTTGGTGTCTTTCAGCCTGATCTTTCTGAAGCCCAACCTGGAGAGTCTGGACTTCTTTGACCTGATGTGGATCGTGGGCATCGCAGACTTTGTGCTCAAGTACCTCACCATCGCCCTCAAATGCCTCGTGGTGGCCCTGCCCAAGATCATCCTGGCTGTCAAGTCCAAGGTGGGAGACTCCTCTTGATGTACAAATATTTATCTTTGATAATCTGATACCTTTAGAACACATTTGCAGCGTGAAATCCCAGAATCCCAGAATGGTTTGGGCGGGAAGGGACCTTAAAGCCCATCCAGTTCCACCCCCTGCCATGGGCAGGGACACCTCCCACTAGCCCAGGTTGCTCCAAGCTCCCTCCAACCTGGCCTTGGACACTTCCAGGGATCCAGGGGCAGCCACAGCTTCTCTGGGCAACCTGTGCCAGGGCCAAATATGAGCAGAAGAATAAAAATAATGAAATCTCTTCATAAAACTTTGGCACTTGGGTATCAAGGTTTGGGGTTTGAGCCACCACAGACCTGAGCAAGGGTTTGGTAGCACCAGCAAGTGATGGAAGTCCAGAGATGAGGAATGCATTGCTGGAGGAGGAATAGGTACTAGCAGTGAGGTAACAGCTTGTCTGGTTGAATTCCTTGTTTTCTGAGCAACCTCTGTAAATACATATTTCTGAAGCACAAATCTCTTCACTTCATGGGAAGAAACTGCAAGTACTTGTGTCTTTGGCTTCCCACTTGGGCCAAAGCAGTAACAGGATTAAATTGAAGCTCCTGGTGCCACAAAAGACACCACCCCTTCTACATAACCACAGGTGAAGAAATATTTTAATACTTAACGTATTTAAATTATTATGAAGTTATTTGTAGACTAGGCCTAACTTTTGAAATTTCCTCACTACGTTCTCTCCCTGAAAATACCATTTCATATGTTTTTACCAGTACAGATCTGTCATGGTGCCTCTTTATCCACTTGGTAGCCTCTGCATTTCAGTAGCAAACACAGCAGTGTGTATTATTTGCCTTCAGTAAAGGAACTTTCTGGCAGCTGTTGGGATGAAAGGCACTGTGTAGATGCAAGATACCATCATTAATCCCTGCAAAGTCTCAGGCAGGGCACTTAGGAGGATATCTAAACTGGGAATAGTTTTGCTTGGAAATGACAGGGGTGGCAGGGGAGTTGAGCAGTTTGTTCCTGCACAGCAGGGCTGTTTGAGATGGTTATTAATTTATTTCTGGCAATTGTCCAACTTTTTTTTTTTCCTTCTTCTATTATTATTATTATATTTTAGGAGATTAATGTGCTGGGTCAGAGCATAATCCAGCCTGGGGAGGGAGGGAAAAGTGATGTGAATAGTCTCCCCAAGATAAATTGCAGCGTTGGAAAAGGTTCACAGCCTTTGCTTGCCTGTCTGAGAGCTCTCCCAAGCACTCATTAATCCTTGTCTGGAGAGAAGAAAGGGAAGGGGTCTTTATTTGCAGCTACAGGGGGAGGCTGGTAAGATCACATCTGTCAGGGGCCTGTAATGACTCAGAGCACAGATGCTTCATTTTTAATACCTTTTTCTGGAGAGCAACACTTCTCACTTCTCTCAAGCCCCTGTTTTGTCCAAGGATGATGTTGATGGGCTTGGTGTCCCCTGACATGTCAGACTGCTGCTCCCAACCACCATGGAGCTGGATTTTTCTCCCCCACTCTGCACCAGGGATGAGATCTCAGGGGACAGACCTCAGGTTCTTCTGAGTTAGAACAGTCCTACTGCAACTTAGGCACATTAACTTGGACCAAAATATTTATTATTTGCTGTCTTAACACTTGCCAGACATAAAGTTATGCTCTTCTTCCCCAGGTGCTCCTACCAGAGCTTCTGCTTTAAGCCCAGATTGGAGTTTATGAACTTGTGGGTGGCTGTCACTTAATGGTGTCATGCTGCTGGAGAAATATAAATTAAACTAGAGGAAAGGTAGACTTTTTTCCAAGATATACATATATATAGTGAGAATTTTTGTGCCAATATAACCAGTCAGAACAGCTCCCCTAATGCAGGGCCTGAAGGGAAGCTGCTGCCCTCTCAGGGTGGAGTTCAGCCCAGCTGTGAGTGGGACACAGGGATTTCATCCTGAGCTTCCTTGCAGGCCTGGCAGTCAGCAACAATCACAGAGCTTGTCCAGGGAGGGGATTTGAGGAACTTTGATCACTGTGCTCTCAACCTCTGAGCAGGCTCTTAGGATTTTTCCTCATTTTGGAGGTTCCAAGGCACCTCCAAAGCCAGGCTGGCTTTTCATGCTGCTCCTTGAGGTTCTGGTGTTCTCTGGGTGCTCTGTGCTCTTCACTGCTGCTTGCAAGGCATTTCCTCTGAATATCCTCCTTTTAAGTCTCTTACCTTTCCATATCCATTGGGATTGGAGTAAGATCAGATTCTTTTCTTTCTGTTCCAGTCTTACTTTCTCCCCTCAGTCTTCTCTGGAGACTGAACACCACCAATTTTTTGAGTCTTTTCTCAGAGATTTTTAATTCCAGATCTTATTATTCTCTTCTGGACTATCTTCATCCCTCCCTGTTTTCCAGAGCATTTCTCCAGCCTGTCAGGATGAGTTTGGATTACAATCCTTCCCTCTATTGCATTTACAGCCTTTCCCAGTTGAGTGTCAGCTGTAGATTTGATAAACCCACTCTGTTCCATCGAGATCATTGATGAAAACAGTGAATAGCACTAAACTCTGCTTCCCTCAGATGCATTTTGACAGTGAACACATAAAAAATTTGAGCTGGAGCACTGAGTTCTGCCCCCCTAAAGTACCTGGGTTGTGTATTCCTAGCATGGCAACTTTTGGTGTAGGATAATATTTGGATTTATGGCATCAGTTTATGCTTTATCTGAGAGAAAGCAAACTAAAATTGGAAGGCAGAAAAATAAGGTTGTCTTTGCAATCAGAACACAGAGGGCAATAAACATGCCCAGGAGTGCTTGAAGTGTGAAGCCTGAGAACTGATAGATTATGTATTATATTTAGGGTACAACTAGCCAGAGTTCTCCAAGCTTGAATAACTCAGAAATGGAATATCTCTGCCACAAACTCCTCCAGAGAACGAGGGAAGACTGAAAAACTTGACAAAATAATCCCAGGCCTTGCCAGGCTCCAAACCAGCCTGGAAAACAGAGGTGCCAAGAGAGGCTGTGGGGCTGCAGTCAGGCTGGAAAGCAGGGAAGGAAGGGCTGGTGAACAGTCAGGAAAAGGGCTGATCTCACACCTCTGGGGTCAGTGGAGTTGGCAGAAGGATCAAACCTGTGGCTGAAGGTGTCCCTTCCTCCCCCACAAGCTGCTGGGCACGTGAAGCCAAGTTCAAGTTTTAATTTCAGCTGGGCTCATCATTTCTTTGGAAGGGGGGGGGGGTTTGGCTCCCACCCTGCTCTCCATTAAAAAAAAAAAAAAGGCAAATAAGATCATTTGGTTCAATATAAAATGAATTAAAGTAAATTAAACTGCAGGAGCCATGTGGCCTTGCAGGGGCTTCCATTGTTGTACACCCATGGATGGCAGCTTTTCATTTGCACTGCTGAGGAATGACAGCTTGAGGGGGGTGGAATTAAAAATAAGGAAATAAATAATAAAAAGGCACACTTGCCAAAGATTTCACTTAGGAAATCCCAGGTGCCTGCAAGTCTCCCATCCCCTCCTCATGCTCCTGTCAGCAATCTGAGCTGGTTATTCCTGGAGGATGGAGTGAGACAAAAGAACTGTAAGGAACTCGTATCCCAGGTTTTTTTATACATGTATCCTTATCCCTAGAGGGAAGAAGGACATTTTTCCAATTACCTTAATGGGCTGGTACATAAGAAAGACCCTAAGTTGGAATTTTCCTTCCATGCTCAGTACAGATGTGCAGCCAAGTTCCAGGGAGCTGCATTTCCAGGAGGCTGGAAATTCGGAAGGAGAACACTCAACACTGGCTTGTTGCAAACACAGCATGAAATAAATGACTATTAGTTAAATACTTGTCAGATTGACTTGAAAGCTGGATCCAGACACTGCAAATGCCATAAATCCCATGAATTTGTCTTTATGCTGCTGAAATGCTGCCAGTGGCAAGTGTGCAAACACTGCTCCACCCTTGCACTGGGGACCCCTCACTGCAGCTTTAAAAATATTTGCTTGGTGGCTTTTTTTTCCCAGTTGACTGTTTTATTGGTGCTTTTTATTTTTAAAGTACCATCTCACCGAGGCTGGACAGAGAAAACTTGGCCTGTGTGTTGCTGCAGTTCTTTACCCAGTTCTGCACTTGGATTTTAGACCAAATATGATGAAAACAGTGAATAGCACTAAACTTCAGGTGCATTCCATGTTTCCTGACATTTCCTGGCATGGGTGGTTACAGCTCTGCCATGTAAACTGGCACATTAACCTTCCCATATTCCTTCTGAAGCTGCACCTTTTTTTTGTTGTCCTGAGGAAATAAAGGTCCCTTGGAGCATTTCAGTCCTCTGGGTGCTGATCCAAAAATCCAGAAGTGTTAAGAAAAGCACTGGGAGCTGGCACATAGATGAGTTTTAGGAAAAATACCCAGGTGAAGATGTTCCTCATCTGTGCTCTCTTCTGCTGTGAGCTATGCAGGTTAATCCTGGTCTTCCCCAACACTGTGGTTAAAGTGGTGTTTCCAGGCAGGATAACCCATCCTCTAAGTACCTTCTGACCTTGGATACTCTTTGGAGGAACTCTGGGACAGATTCACCAGTCTTGGACAACAATCTGAGCTTTGATCCTCTGGAGCCACAGAACCATGTGATGTTCTGCAGAGACTTTTCTCTGCTTCAGCCTGGCCAGATGAGGTGTCCCAGCATCACAAGCATGGGATTTATTATTTTCCAAAAGAAAAAGCGTAACTAAAGCATCAGAGCCAGGTCCTGAGGAGTGGGGGCTCTTCTGTCCCCCTCCCTGACACGCTTTGCAAGCCACTGCTGCTGAACTTTAAAAGAATCATTACTCCCAGGGGCTTTCCCACTTGGAACTTCCCAATTTAAGATGTCCAAGATGAGACTTTCAGAAGCGAAATTCTCATTTTTTTCCCCTCTAATCCCACCTGGAAATTACTCCTCATTAGTCCTGCCTGGATTTTCAGCAGCACAATGTGCCACAATCCTGTTTCCTGCTCCCACTTCCCTGCCCTGGCAGTGTGACCTGCAGTCCCAGCAGAGATCTCTCCTCATCCAAATTGCCACAGCGGGTCCCCAAAGTTTTTTCCCAGCATCCTCCTGTGTCAGAATAAGCCCTAATGCTGCTGGCAACAGAACAAGTGAGACTTGGAGCTTCCCTTGAGTGCTAATCACGACTTACAGTTGCCTCATTGCAACTTCTCTCACTTCTCCTGCCTCCCATTTTAATTCCACCGTGTCAGACCTTACCCTGCCTCCCTGTTCCCTCCTGGGGAGGCACAGGCACTTATGCAAAGCCTTGTGTCAAAAGAAACCACAAAATCAAGGCTCACTTGGGCTCTGGGGGAATTAGCATTGCCTCTGCAGCTGCAAATTTTCCCCCCTTTGCTCTGTATGTGTTGGGATTCAGTTTTTAATTACACTGTTCCATGTTGTGTCACTGTAAGACTTCTTCCCTCCATCACCAGTGCCCCAAGGATGAAGGTGAGATATTGAAAGGAGCTGTTGTAGCAACTGGAAAGTTCACAGAAAACAAAGACCACTGGAAGAGGAACATTCTACAGGTTCAGGTTTCTACACTGGAGAATTAAATCCTGTCCTTTACTTCGCCAGATAATTCCTGTGTGATTCTAGAAAAGTCGTGTACAGCTGCAAACTGGAGTCAGGGGTTCAGCTTTTAATGGTAATGTGATCTATAAAATGAAGTGCTTTATAAAAAGTCTAATCCCAGGCATCTCAGCTTGGACACCAAACCAGCCTTACCTTGACCTCCATCTTTCTGTGCCTCGAGTTTTCATTTAGGAAACGCAGAGAACAGCTGTCCCTGAGGTCAGCCCTGTGAAAATAAGGGGGTTTGAAGAGTGTTTTTGTAGTGGTGATGTCATAAAGGGACTGAAGAAATGTTAGAAATTTGCTCCTCTGAGCAGGATGAAGGGATCAGATGCAGCTCTGCCATCAAGTGATGAGGATTTAACAAAACACCAGGAAGCTGCAGGCTTAATGTGCAAAAAGGGTTTACCCCTTACAGACCAAAACACTGCACGGACAGAAGGAAAAGTGCAATTGGGTGAAAATCCTGAACTCTCCTCTTTCAAAAGAAGTGCTTTGATTGAAGCATAAAAATGGCCTTTCTGTGGTGAAGGAGGTGCAGGAAAATGGAGGGTTATACAGGAGTCATTGACTGGGTTTTTAACAAAGCACTGAAAAAAGGGAATCGGAATTTCCCAGTGTGGGATCTCGGGAGCTGCTGAACTCAGATCCCCAGCACAGCCCTTCCCCTCATGTGCTAATGAGCTCTTTGATGGTGGCCTGGCAGGGTCAGCAGTGTCCTTCTCACTTCTGGCTCAGGCAAGGGTTTGATGAGAGCAGAGCCCCTTTTCTGGCCCTTGTAGGGGACATAATTGCAGGTAATACCGTATTTAATCTCTGCAGTTCAGGTTGGCTCCTGCACAGTCTGGTCAAACATTGGCACTGACTCACAGGCTCACCAAAAATAGATTTTGCTGCTCTTAGAGAGCCCTTCAGCTCCATACAGTTGTGCATTCCACAGAAGATTCCCAGATTTACACTGATCTTTATGAAATATGAACTCACCTAACAGAGACAGGCCTTGCCTTATTTCCAGCTGTTGTTCCAAACCAGATGCACGTGAAAAATAGTTGTATTTGTGCTTAATATAATCTTGATGAGGAAAAAAAAAAAGCTGAAATACTTGAGTTTATCAGACAAAATACAGCTGGAGACAAAGATTTGTCTTTGAAAACTGTAACCTAGATATCCAAGATGTAACAGGGCTGAGGAGTGGCAGAGAGGTGTGTTGGGTGTCCTCACCAGTGGTGGGTGCTGTCTGCAGCAAGTTACTGCCATCACAAGTCCACATTCTGCTGCTAAAACTGTAGGGAACAACCCTTGTTTTCAACCTTCTGGCTCAGAAGGGAGACCCCACTTCTGCTGCAGCCCTTTGTAAAGTTACTTTTGATTTTCTGGCACTTTTCCCAGTTTTAAAAAAGTGGTGCACTAAGGACTGAGATGCCTGACAAGACTTAAAAGTTCTGTAAGCACTTTCTAGTTCTCTTCTAAGTGTTGCTTCCTCCTGGATTCACTCTAAACCTACCAACCTTTAGTGGTCAGGTGGGTGCTGTTAATGGGCTCATGGAGGGGAGGCATCCTTTAAATCTGAACTTTGCTCTTGTGGGGCTGTGAACAAGTTTCTAGCTGCTGAGAAATCCTGGTACCCTGCAGTTCCCACTGAAAACCGAGGATGTGCAATAGATAAAGGAGCTCTGAGAGCTTTGGGAAGGGTGGAGATGTTGTGGTCGGACAACTGAAGTTGCATGTTCATTTTAGAGCCACGTCCTGCCCCTTCCAACCCCACAGCCTGTCTGTCCTCCGGGGCTGCCCCTGCCCCACCTTTCCTTACATCCTGCTGCGGGCTCTGGCGTTCCAGCGCCTCAAAACTCGTGTTGTGGGCAGGATTTCAGCTCTGGCGCCCCAAATTCTGGGCGCAGCGGCTCCATCTGATGCAACGGGAGAGCAAGAAGTGACCTGTCCCATCCCCATCCCGGCTGCTGGCGAGGCAAGGATCCGGGAGAGATGAGGGCTGGGAGCCGGGGGGAGGGACGAGTCAGGGAAAACAAAACAGTTTTGCTGCCTTTCTCTTGCCGGTGGCTTTCATCAGAGGGGAGGCAGTGACAGCACAGTGACCCTCTGCCCAAAATAAACGATGATTGCATCGAAGCACGAGGCTGGAGAGAGAGAGAGAGAGAGACCTCGGCGCTAATTTAATAAATTGCTGGCGTTTCGGATCGCTGCCGGTAGGTTTTGTGCTCCGTGATGCCACCTGGGATTCAGGGGGAGGAGGGGGGAGGCAGAGAGGCAGGAAAGCTGCCCGGGTCCGATAGCAACCGCTGGTGTGACCTCACTCCGCGTCCCGGGGGGGGCATGAGATCATGAGCGTGCCAGAGCTCTCCGAAGGATTCGATTTGTCGGGAGCAGCAGGATGGCCTGCGAGTGATCTCATCGGCAGCCCCCGGGGAAGGGCGCTGGCTGCTGCCGGGCCGGCTGCCAGGACCGAATCCCCATCCCAACCTCCCCAATTAGCGATTGGCCTGCGGTGACATCACTGATGACAAAGCGAGCCGGGACAGCGCAGCAAAATTCCAGGGGAATTTCCCCCTTCCCCGGGATCTTATCGGATGAAAGGGTTTTTGACGTGACTAAACCCAAACCTTTCAGCCCAGATAATGTCAGTGGAGATTAAGGATCGTTCTGACCCGGTGCCCTGCCACCGGCGTGGGACAGAACATAAATAAACAGGTCCTCATTAGGACTGGCCCTAAATTAGATCCCCTTGTTCAGCCAGCTTCCTGCTCGTCGGGAAGAAATAAAACTAGAATTATTAAAATACATATTAAATACATATTTATATATAATATTTTGTATATAATATTAAAATAGAAGTGATGTGGTAAGAAAAAAAAGGCACTTTCTAGTTGCACCTCGTGGTTGCAGCGAGACAGGAGGGAGTGTGTGTCACCCTGCAGGTGTCCCTCAAGGAGGGAAAGCTTTCCGTGCCTAATAAACACCGGGATGGCAGGGACAGCTTTGCTGAAGGTTTTTACACAGGATGTTGCCCATTCTTTGAGTCTCTTTTGAGAGAGAAGTGTTTGAACCATCACGCTTCCCCCCTCCCCCCCTTCTTCCTTAAGGTCCTCAGGAAGTATTTTGAATTTCAATGCCCTGAGGGTTTGTTTTTCAGCACCAGTCTTTTTATCCTTGCACTGTACAAGAGCCAACACGCACCTGAGTGGAAGGGCAGGGATAAGGATGCTGGCAAAGGGATAATTAGTTTGCTCTGGAAAGTTGTCAGGAAGTCTGATGTCACCTTACATTTAATCCCTGTACCTTCAGAAAGGTATAAAGTCAAAGAGGCTTACCTTGCTTTCCTTTTCTCATAATTAATAGCATCCACTATTTACATCCTATTAATCCTGTAAGTCTTAACTCTGCTGCAGCATTAAGATGTGTGTCCATAACCTGCTTTAGAAGGTAAAATTCCAAACTGTAGAACAGCTGGGTGAGGGGCAGAGCACGAGGAGCACCGTGAAAGAATGAAGTGACAATGATCCCTTCAGAGTTCAAAAGCAGGTCCCTGCCCCGTTTAACAGAGTGAACACTGCTCTTCTTTTGGCCTCCTGACACTTTCCATCTCCCTTTTGTGGTTTTCCAGGGCAAGTTTTACCTGCTCATCGAGGAGCTGAGCCAGCTGTTCCGCTCCCTGGTGCCCATCCAGCTGTGGTACAAATACATCATGGGAGACGATCCCTCGGGCAGCTACTTCCTGGGAGGGATCCTGATCATCATGTACAGCCTCTGCAAGGTGAGCACCAGCCCTGCAGTGACCTGCAGCACAGCTGGAGGGAACAAATCCACCTCCTGTCCCTGCCCAGGAAGGGACCTGCAGCAGAGGGGACACCACGAGCTGCAGCTGCAGCTGCCAGAGGCATTTTGCATCCCCAGCCATGGGCATGGCTGAGCTGGAGAAGGTCTGTGGCTGCTCAGGAGTGTTGCATCAGACTCATGAAGTCATTGCTGCTCTCTAATCCCTTCCTGCAAAGGCTGGAGGAGAAGGGGAGAGCCTTGGGGGAGCAGTGCTGGCGTGTTCAGCTGACTGCAGCCTTCCAGATGCAGCACTGAAAGGCAGGTTGCAGTTTAATGTTTCTCTCTGAGCTTTCCTCTGCCTTTCCAGGCAGGGTGGGTGCTCTGTCACTCACAGCAGGCAGAGAGAGGGGTATCCAAGTCCTGCCTGCATAAAACAGGCAGTTCTGCCCTGTTCTAGGTCCTGGTCTGGCTGCTGCAAGTCCAGGATCCCAGTGATGGACAAGGGTAATTAATGTTTCCTCAGAAATAAGAATGTTAAGAGCACAAAGTCTGTCTGTTCAATTGTGAATGTAAGTGTAACTTTATAAATAAGAGTCCCAAGTCTGAGGTCTAGAAAGAGCTGTATTTCTGATTGTGTGTGTTGAACCCTGCCCAAACAGGGGCATCCCTGTGTTATCCATCCCTCTGAGAAAGGCCAGCTGAGTCAGGCTGGCTCCATCCCTGATCCCTGCCTGTGCCTCTGGCTTTGCAGGAGCAGACTGAAGAACAGGGAAGAGGGAACATATCCCAGCTGAAAACAGAGGGGCTCAGAGGGGCCCAGCAATTCTAAATCATTGCTGCAGTTGCAGCTCTATGTTATGTAGGAACAGGGCCTGTTTAACCCCTCCTGTCAAGGAATTGTCAGTTCTTGTGAGCAGGAGAGGCAGAGGAGGTCGTGGGAAGTGATTTGGTCACAGCAGGTCTGAGATCAAGCCCAAACCAGAGCAAACAGTGCCAGAACAGAAGCACATGAGACCAGTGCAGCTCCTGCACACCCATCAGTTCCCTCAGCTCTGTGCTCCCTGCTCTTTACTCTTCTCTGGGAGAGGACTGTTGTCCCTTTCAGAGATTCCACTGCCTGGATTCCCTGTATCCCTGGATCCCCCCAGGATCCAGCCCTTTCCTGCCCTCCTGGCCTGGGAGCTCAGGTGTTCAGGTCACAGGTACAGGAACAGATTTCAAGTGATCTTCTTTCCAGTGTCCCTTCTTGCAACAGAGACTCAACACCTGGAAGAGGGATGGATGCTTACCTGCAGTTCCACCTGCCATTCCTTCCACCTGGAGAAGTCCTCCCAGCAGCAAGAAGCAGTGGGAGCTTCTGCTCCTTGGAGGAAGGGGAGCCAGGCCCAAACCCAGAGCTGGCAGGGCCAGGGCCCAGATCTTCACATGGTGAGGCAGGTCCAAGATAAACCCAGAACAGCAGTGCCTGGGTCAGGATCAGGCCTGGCAAAGGCAGCCAGGGCCAGGCACAGTCCAGCAATGGCAGGAGACAGGCCCAAGGTGATGGTGGTCAGTCACTCCATGTGCTGGGGTGTCCAGGGCAGTGGGATCTGTAGCTGGGCACAGGCAGGGCTGGACTGGAAACCAGCACTGGCATAAGCACAGCTCAGACATGAGCTGAGCCCTCCAGGGCTGAGCTTAAATAGAGCTGCTGGGCCCCTGGGCAGGGACTGTGGGTGCAGAGCCAGGACAGGCTCCTCAGGGCCATGAGGGGCTGTTAATGCCCCCAGGGCTCACTGGTGGGAGCAGTTCTTTTGGGGTTCACTTGATGTTTCTGGATTATGAAGCTTTTACAGGTAGTGTGGGATGACCTGGGGTGGAAAAGCCACCTCATTTTGGCCAGTTGTGCTGGTGTGTTCTTCAGAAGCTCCCTGAGGGCAGGACAGCTGTTTTCCAGCCTTGCCTATAACTTGGGCCCAGGACTGTGAGGCACACTTGGGAAGGTGCCTTGGCTGCAGCCCATTCCTGGGACATGCACATTCCTTCCTTGAATTCATCCAGCTCACTGGGGGGATAACGGAGGGATGGGCCAGGGGAAGGGTGCTAAACCCAGGGATGTGTCCCAGGTCATTGTGTGCAGCTCCTGAGCGTGTCCAGGTCAGGGTAATCCCCCTGCACACAGAGACTCTGCTTGGAAGTGAAGGAAAAGTGGGATCACACTCCTCCAACACAGCCAGGAGTGCCAGGTGTGTGCATCCCACTCACAGCCACGAGAGCTGCAGGTCTAATTCCTTGCCTGAGACACTGAGAATATCCCCAGAGGAGCCCACATTAGCAAAGCCACAAACCACATTAGAAAAAACCACAGAAGCCAATTTGGCACCGAGAGCTCCTGGCGAAAATCCAGGGCTCAGCTGGGGCTGCAGCCCCTTCCCCTGCACAGAGGGCAGGATCAGGGTCCCTTCCAGAGGGTTGTGTGTCCTGCAGCTCCTGGAAGCTCCCCTGGTGCCTCTCTCAGGGCTGTGTAGACACAAACCCTCTGATTTTGGTGAAGAAATCCCAGATGTTCACCAGCGAGAGCATCCAGGGGTTATTTTGTCCCAGTCCTGAACAGAAGCACTCACTGTCTGTAACCCAGGTGTTAAAATGAGAGGCAAGATGAAGGATGACTGATGCACCACACTTCAGTGCATGGGTGAGAAATGGGAGTTAGACCACTGAAACAGCAGCTCTTGGGGTACAGGGGGAAAAAATGAAGGGGAAAAGTGGACTGGGAGAAGAGGAGAGACACCAGAGCTGGAGCAGAGGCCACACTGTAAGCAAAGCAAGCAGAAAATGTCTGTGAAATGGGCTGTGGAAAAGAGCTGATCCTCGTTAGGAGATGAAAAGTCTGCAGCAGTGGCAGCCTCCAGTGGTAGTTGCTGACTGGAAGCATTACTGGAAGGACCCTGGGAGCCTTTTACATGCTGACTGGAAGCATTATTGGTGCCTTCATTTGATTCCACAGCTATTGCAGGATGATCTCACTGGCATTCCCTGCAGTGAGCCCACTTAATCCTGCTAACCAAGGGAAAATGAGAGAGAGCCAAATCCAGGCACTGTGGTGCCTCTGCAGGGCTGGTCCATCCCTGCAGCATCCCACCTTCCCCTGCCCTCCAGGTGGGACCAGCAGGTCCTGGCAGGGCTGTTCTCTGCACAGCTACTCCTCCATATCCTGCCTGCTTCCCTGGCTTTTTCCCTGTGAGCTCTGCCAGCAGGTAGGGAAGTTAAGACTGACACCCTGCATTAGGTTTTCAAGCTGTTCTCCCTTATTTTAATGGTCTTCACTCCAAGGCTGCTCAGTGTCTCCTGTCTTGCTCAGCCCCTTGATATCTGTAGACAGTTTTATCAGCTCTTCCCCCCAGTTTCATGCTGCTCAGCCAAGCTGGAAATGGTTGTGTCCTTTAGTCTCTTCTCAGGAATCATTTCTGCCCTGCCCAGAGCTGCTGTCAGGGTGTGAGGAGAAGTCCAGAACTCTCCTTTCCTTCCCTTTCCCTTCCCTTTCCCTTTCTCCTTCCCAAACCTTCCCTTCCCTTCCCAAACCTTCCCTTCCCTTCCCAAACCTTCCCTTCCC